TGGAGCCAGGATGATGGTGGAGCCAGGATGATGGTGGAGCCAGGATGATGGTGGAGCCAGGATGATTGTGGAGCCAGGATGATTGTGGAGCCAGGATGATTGTGGAGCCAGGATGATGGTGGAGCCAGGATGATTGTGGAGCCAGGATGATTGTGGAGCCAGGATGATGGTGGAGCCAGGATGATGGTGGAGCCAGGATGATTGTGGAGCCAGGATGATTGTGGAGCCAGGATGATGGTGAAGATAGGATGATTGTGGAGCCAGGATGATTGTGGAGCCAGGATGATTGTGGAGCCAGGATGATTGTGGAGCCAGGATGATTGTGGAGCCAGGATGAATGGTGGAGCCAGGATGATTGTGGAGCCAGGATGATTGTGGAGCCAGGATGATTGTGGAGCCAGGATGATGGTGGAGCCAGGATGATTGTGGAGCCAGGATGATTGTGGAGCCAGGATGATTGTGGGAGCCAGGATGATGGTGAAGATAGGATGATTGTGGAGCCAGGATGATTGTAGAGCCAGGATGATTGTGGAGCCAGGATGATTGTGGAGCCAGGATGATTGTGGAGCCAGGATGATTGTGGAGCCAGGATGTTTGTGGAGCCAGGATGATGGTGGAGCCAGGATGATTGTGGAGCCAGGATGATGGTGGAGCCAGGATGATTGTGGAGCCAGGAGGATTGTGGAGCCAGGAGGATTGTGGAGCCAGGATGATTGTGGAGCCAGGATGATTGTGGAGACAGGATGATTGTGGAGCCAGGATGATTGTGGAGCCAGGATGATGGTGGAGCCAGGATGATGGTGGAGCCAGGATGATTGTGGAGCCAGGATGATTGTGGAGCCAGGATGATTGTGGAGCCAGGATGATGGTGAAGATAGGATGATTGTGGAGCCAGGATGATTGTGGAGCCAGGATGATGGTGGAGCCAGGATGATTGTGGAGCCAGGATGATTGTGGAGCCAGGATGATTGTGGAGCCAGGATGATGGTGAAGATAGGATGATTGTGGAGCCAGGATGATTGTAGAGCCAGGATGATTGTGGAGCCAGGATGATTGTGGAGCCAGGATGATTGTGGAGCCAGGATGATTGTGGAGCCAGGAGTGTTTGTGGAGCCAGGATGATGGTGGAGCCAGGATGATTGTGGAGCCAGATGATGGTGGAGCCAGGATGATTGTGGAGCCAGGAGGATTGTGGAGCCAGGTGATTGTGGAGCCAGGATGATTGTGGAGCCAGGATGATTGTGGAGACAGGATGATTGTGGAGCCAGGATGATTGTGGAGCCAGGATGATGGTGAAGCCAGGATGATTGTGGAGCCAGGATGATTGTGGAGCCAGGATGATTGTGGAGCCAGGATGATTGTGGAGCCAGGATGATTGTGGAGCCAGGATGATTGTGGAGGCAGGATGATGGTGGAGCCAGGATGATTGTGGAGCCAGGATGATTGTGGAGCCAGGATGATGGTGGAGCCAGGATGATGGTGGAGCCAGGATGATTGTGGAGCCAGGATGATTGTGGAGCCAGGATGATTGTGGAGCCAGGATGATGGTGAAGATAGGATGATTGTGGAGCCAGGATGATTGTGGAGCCAGGATGATTGTGGAGCCAGGATGATTGTGGAGCCAGGATGATTGTGGAGCCAGGATGATTGTTGAGCCAGGATGTTTGTGGAGCCAGGATGATGGTGGAGCCAGGATGATTGTGGAGCCAGGATGATGGTGGAGCCAGGATGATTGTGGAGCCAGGAGGATTGTGGAGCCAGGATGATTGTGGAGCCAGGATGATTGTGGAGCCAGGATGATGGTGGAGCCAGGATGATTGTGGAGCCAGGATGATTGTGGAGCCAGGATGACTGTGGAGCCAGGATGATTGTAGAGCCAGGATGATTGTGGAGCCAGGATGATTGTGGAGCCAGGATGATTGTGGAGCCAGGATGATTGTGAAGCCAGGATGATTGTGGAGCCAGGATGATTGTGGAGCCAGGATGATTGTGGAGCCAGGATGATGGTGGAGCCAGGATGATGATGGAGCCAGGATGATGGTGAAGCCAGGGTGATGGTGAAGCCTTGATGATGGTGGAGCCAGGATGATGGTGGAGCCAGGATGATGATGGAGCCAAGATGATGGTGAAGCCAGGATGATGGTGAAGCCTTGATGATGGTGGAGCTAGTTTGATGGGGAAGCCAGGATGATGGGGGAGTCAGGATGATGGTGAAGCCAGGATGATGGTGGAGCCAGGATGATGATGGAGCCAGTTTGAAGGGGAGCCAGGATGATAGGGAGTCAGGATGATGGGGGAGTCAGGATGATGGGGGACTCAGGATAATGGGGGAGTCAGGATAATGGGGGAGTCAGGATGATGGGGGAACCAGGATGATGATGGAGCCAGGATGATGGGGGAGCCAGGATGATGGTGGAGCCAGGATGATGGGGGAACCAAGATGATGGGGGAGCCAGGATGATGGGGGAGCCAGGATGATGATGGAGCCAGGATGATGGGGAGCTAGGATGATGGTGGAGCCAGGATGATGGGGGAGCCAGGATGATGGGGGAGCCAGGATGATGGTGGAGCCAGGATGATGGGGGAGCCAAGATGATGGGGGAGCCAGGATGATGGGGAGCCAGGATGATGATGGAGCCAGAATGATGGGGAGTCAGGATGATGGGGGAACCAAGATGATGGGGAAGCCAGGATGATGGGGGAGCCAGGATGATGATGGAGCCAGGATGATGGGGAACCAGGATGATGGGGAGTCAGGATGATGGGGGAACCAGGATGATGGGGGAGCCAGGATGATGGGGAACCAGGATGATGGGGAGCCAGGATGATGGGGAGCCAGGATGATGATGGAGCCAGGATGATGGGGAACCAGAATTATGGGGGAGCCAGGATGATGGGGAGCCAGGATGATGGGGAGTCAGGATGATGGGGGAGTCAGGATGATGGGGGAGCCAGGATGATGGGGAGCCAGGATGATGGGGGAGTCAGGATCATGGGGAGGTCAGGATCATGGGGGAGGTCAGGATGATGGTGAGGTCAGGATGATGGGGAGGTCAGGTTGATGGGGAGGTCAGGATGATGGGCGGAGGTCAGGATGATGGGGTAGGTCAGGATGATGGGGAGGTCAGGATGATGGGGAAGTCAGGATGATGGGGAGGTCAGGATGATGGGGGAGGTCAGGATGATAGGGGAGGTCAGGATGATGGGGGGAGGTCAGGATGATGGGGGGGAGGTCAGGATGATGGGGGGAGGTCAGGAGAGATGTTATCACTTTGATAGTCCGTGTGTCTGATAGTGACCAGGAAAGTTGAGCAAATATTGTGGTACCTATACTTTGAGAGGTACCTGTGTCTTGAGAGGTACCTGTGTCTTGCGAGGTACCTGTGTCTTGCGAGGTACCTGTGTCTTGAGAGGTACCTCAGCCTTGAGAGGTACCTCAGCCTTGAGAGGTACCTCAGCCTTGAGAGGTACCTGTGCTCTGAGAGGTCCTTCAACCTTTAGAGGCACCTGCCCATATACTTGCACTTGCATTTCTACCTATACCATCACAGGTGCTTGTACCTGTGCTTACACCTACCTGTTAACTGCACCTGCATGATGTACCGACGAGTCTAGAAAGTGATTTACCAAGTCCTTTTTTGAATTCTTAGTTTTCTCTCTTTGTTTATATTCTTTGTGTTGTTTGTGTTTACCTTAGCAGTAGTCTTGGCTCAAGAATGTATTTATGTTATTATTATTATTATTATTATTATTAAAACGATGGCCGTCTACCACCGAGGCAGGGTAACCCGAGAAAGGAACACTTTCACCATCATTTACACTATCACTGTCTTGCCAGAGGCGCGCAAGTACGAAGGGATGTTTTAAACTAGTAGGGTTTATACGTCTCCTGGGGACCGGGAAGCAGTCAGGTTTGAAACGAGTAAGGAGAAGCTTGTTTAAACCACCAGCAACCATTTAAAGAGTTTTACGGGTCATCCTGAGAGATGGTAATTGCCTGATCCACCATGAGGCCTGGTCTCAGACCGAGCCGCGGGGGCGTTGACCCCCGGAACTCTCTCCAGGTAAACTCCAGGTAAGTGACAGTAGCTGCAGCTCTGCTGAAAGGATAGTAACTGCAATTCTGCTGGAAGGATAGTGATTGCAGCTCTGCTGGAAGAATAACGACTGCAGCTCTTCTGGAAGGATAGCGACTGCAGCTCTGCTGGAAAGAAACCTTTGAAGCTGTAGCAGCTGATGAACCTTTAATGGAATACTGGACGATATTCTTATTGTCGACACTACTGAAGTCTGCCAACTCAGGCTCATAAATTGCAACACTATGTATATAACCCATCCCGTGTGATAGAATATGACAGGGAAATATAGCTTTTGTTCCCACTGTGTAACTATTATATAGAAAAGTGTAGCAGCACACTGCTGGTGTGTCCAGTGTGTAACTATTATATAGAAAAGTGTAGCAGCACACTGCAGGTGTGTCCAGTGTGTAACTATTCTATAAAATAGTGTAGCAACACGCTGCAGGTGTTCCTAAAGTACAACTGCCGTTATTTTTATTATATTAACAAAATGCGCCGCAGCAAGAGGAATGAGAGAACAGCCTTGACCTCAGCCAGCATCGTCATGCCAGCTATGGAGTGGGGAGGTGGGGGGAACTCCAATTGTGACCAACCCCACTTCCACCCTGTTTTCCCCCTTCCTCATAGCCACTAGTAAACCCCCCTCCCTCCCCACCTTCCACCTCATTGAGACGATGACAGAGAGCTTCCCTATAAATTTCTCTCACGATGTTATCAGTTTCATAAGAGTCGCTACACGGAGATTAAACATTTACTCGATATCTTTCCTGGTGGGCTCATCTCTACGAGGCTGATAAGACAAGGTCCACTGACGGAGCAGGAAAGCTGTATGTTAATTCCTCAAGTGGTGTTATTCTTCAGGTCTAAGTACTTGACCTGCTCACCCAAGCGACGTACTTCACTTTGATATATAAACGCCACATGCGGTGGTTGATACTCAATCGTGTATACACTTCCTTCTTGCTGGTAAACTTGAAAGCTGTTAAAGCATCAGTAAGGAACTTTCAAGACTGGAAATATGAAATTGTTAGTGTGGTTGGCAGTGTTGATGGGTGTGAGTGAAGGGTCCCGGGTGCTGATGGTGCTGCCGCTGGGTTCTTCGTCTCACAAGAACATAATAATACCGTTGGCCGAGGCTCTGGGTAGTCGTGGACATCAGGTGATCGTTGCTTCACTTCACGCCAGTCCTGCTAACTCTTCCCGCTCCTACACCGACCTGGTAGCCTCCGACGCCTGGGAGACCATCCGTAAAGTGACGGGCGACTTCAATGTCTTCAAGATGCGAGAAGCTAACGGTGGGAAAGACGTGAACTCCGAAGTAATGAAGAAAGTGCTACGTAATCTGCCAGAGTATTGTGACGCCTTTCTGCGTGACCCTGGAGTGCAGACCGCCTGGACCAGCAAGCCAGACCTGATCCTCCTGCCGGCGTTCATGAACGAGTGTGGGCTGGCACTAGTTCACAAGTTCAAGGCGCCCTTCATCTATGTCACCACCTCGGGTCTCACCCCTTGGACAGCAGACCTTATGGGCAACCCGGAAAACCCTTCCTACATACCCAACCAGTACCTCACCTACGGTGCCCACATGAGCCTTTGGCAACGCACAGTCAACACCCTCGTCAGGTGAGTTGTGGGTCTCCCTTGCTGTGGAAGGGAATTGTCTCTGGCACTGTGGGTGTAATACACGTGGCACTATACACACCATAACACTAAACCATCAACAAACACTAACTTCTCTTCTCTTATTCCTACAGAATCGCTGGTCCGTATCTGAGGAAACAATTGGTGATGAACAGACTGGATGGAGTGGTGCAGAGGTTCCTGGGAGACCCATCAGTGTCACTGTCTGAGGTGGAGAAGAACGTGTCACTGGTCTTAGTCAACTCTCACTATTCTCTGGGGCACCCACGCCCCATGCTACCCAACGTGGTGGAGGTGGGTGGTATGCACTGCCGCCCAGGCCGCCCCCTGCAGGACGCCCAACTTCGACATTTCCTGGACTCTTCTACCGTACCTGTGGTGCTCTTTAGTCTGGGCTCATCAATCCGCAGCGAACAACTTCCTCCTCGGGTGTTGCACTCACTGATGGCTGCCTTCCGTCGTCTTCCCTACCGAGTATTATGGAAGTGGGGGGGCGGTGCCCTTTCGGACCTTCCAGCTAATGTAATGACCCGCCCCTGGCTGCCACAGCAAGACGTGTTGGCACACAAACGGGTACGCGCCTTTTTCACCCACGGAGGATTGCTGTCACTTCAGGAGGCTGTCTACCACAATGTTCCACTGGTAGGACTGCCCATCATGAGTGACCAACACCTCAACGTTCGTCAGGCTGTGGCCTCAGGTGTGGCCGTCGAACTCAGTCTGGATAGCCTGACGGAGGAGGGAGTGTACCAGGCTATTAGGAGCGTGGTGGAGGAGAAACAATACAGACAGAGAGTGATGGAGAGGTCACAGCTTCTGCGTCACCAACAATCTCCACCACTGGACACAGCTGTCTACTGGGCTGAACATGTGCTACGTTATGGCGGTGGTCAACACCTGCGGTCTGCAGCAGTTGACATGCCACTCTACCAATACCTGCTACTCGATGTTGCTGCTTTTCTACTGACACTCACTGTTCTGCTGCTGCTGCTGCTTCGTTCAGTCCTGACAGCACTCAAACGCTTGTTTGTGCGCGTCCTCAAGAACACTGTTACAAAAGCCCTTACAACTCTCAGAACACATGTTAAGTTACAATAAGACACTGACTACAGCTGAGAGAGAGATCTGAACCCAGAGAGAAAAACGTATCTGTTAGCATTTGCATTAGTCTGATCTCTGTGATAGCTAATTATGTTTAGGTTCAGGTTTTTCTCTGTCTGTGAACTTTCTGATAATGTTCGATAGCTTCTATTATTGCTGTGATAGATCTTAAAAAGTACAATTACTACCATTACAATCATCTCCAATATTCACTTCTCATCTCACACAATCATTTCATGTTTCTTCATTTATATATGAAAATTTTTTTATGAGTTCAGTGTAATTCCCATTTGTATTTTATTACCACAAATATATTTTTTATACTTTCTCAATAAAGATCATTTTGAATATGTGTATTTTTATTGTAGCTATTCCCATGACACCATTTATGTGCTTGTATGTGTTAATGCTTCATTTCCAGTTTACAAGCATTATCTCCTAGTCCACAGCGGGATTCGAACCTGCACACTCTGCATGTAAGCTCAGACACGACACATGTTTTAGCGCCCTCTTCTCTCTCAAGATTTGGTCGGGGCGCCGTGTATAAGATCAGTAAGCCAAGGAAAAGTCTGTTTTTGTTGACTCAGGTGCAGCCATGGGGGTGTCGGGCTCTGCTGGGGTTTAGGCAAGAGTGTCCACTTGATAATGTTAACAATAATAATAATCTTTATTTCTACAAGTATATACAGGCCATAGATGACATCAATGACATATTACCGTGCAGAAAGTCCCTTGTTATGCTGAGCATTTCCCGAAAATTAGGTCAATTTTGTCCCCCAGGATGCGACCTACACCAGTCCACCAGATGATAGGTGAGCAATGACAGCAGGTGTAAGATGACTAACACCCAGGTACCTATTTTATTGTTAGGTGAACATGGACAGCAGGCATCTAAAGGAAACACGTCCTCATGTTTCCACCCGTACCGGGGATCGAACCACAGACCTCAGAGTGTAAGCTGAGTGAGCTGCCATTTTGATGCACTTTTCTCTATCACGAGAAAACTTTGATTTTTCTTTATAACTCCCTCCTGATATTTGGGCAGCAAAAGGTACCTAATGAATGAAAGGTACCTAATGAATGAGGCTACAGAAAGGTACCTAGTGAATGAAGCTACAGAAAGGTACCTAATGAATGAAGCTACAGAAAGGTACCTAGTGAATGAAGCTACAGAAAGGTACCTAATAATGAAGCTACAGAAAGGTACCTAGTGAATGAAGCTACAGAAAGGTACCTAGTGAACGAAGCTACAGAAAGGTACCTAGTGAATGAAGCTACAGAAAGGTACCTAGTGAATGAAGCTACAGAAAGGTACCTAGTAATGAAGCTACAGAAAGGTACCTAGTGAATGAATATACAGAAAGGTACCTAGTGAATGAAGCTACAGAAAGGTACCTAATAATGAAGCTACAGAAAGGTACCTAGTGAATGAAGCTACAGAAAGGTACCTAGTGAATGAAGCTACAGAAAGGTACCTAGTGAATGAAGCTACAGAAAGGTACCTAGTGAATGAAGATACAGAAAGGTACCTAGTAATGAAGCTACAGAAAGGTACCTAGTGAATGAAGATACAGAAAGGTACCTAGTAATGCAGCTACAGAAAGGTACCTAGTGAATGAAGCTACAGAAAGGTACCTAGTGAATGAAGCTACAGAAAGGCCCCTAGTGAATGAAGCTACAGAAAGGTACCTAGTGAATGAAGCTACAGAAAGGTACCTAGTGAATGAAGCTACAGAAAGGTACCTAGTAATGAAGCTACAGAAAGGTACCTAGTGAATGAATATACATAAAGGTACCTAGTAATGAAGCTACAGAAAGGTACCTAGTAATGAAGCTACAGAAAGGTACCTAGTGAATGAAGCTACAGAAAGGTATCTAGTGAATGAAGCTACAGAAAGGTACCTAGTGAATGAAGCTACAGACTTCCTTCCTTACTTATTCATTTCCTTACTTACTTAGTTCCTTACATACTTCCTTACTTAATTCCCTACATACTTCCTTCCTTCCTTACTTATTACCTTACTTACTTTCTTACTTATTTCCTTACCTACTTCCTTTGTTACTTACTCCCTTACTTACTTACTTCCTTACTTACTCACTTACTTCCTTCCTTACTTACTCCCTTACTTACTCCCTTACTTACTTCCTTACTTACTCCCTTACTTACTTCCTGACTCAATTACTTCCTTACATACTTCCTTCCTTCCTTATTACCTTACTTCCTTTTTTACTTACTCCCTTACTTAATTCCTGACTCAATTACTTCCTTACATACTTCCTTCCTTCCTTATTACCTTACTTCCTTTTTTACTTACTCCCTTACTTACTTCCTTACTTACTCCCTTACTTACTTCCTGACTCAATTACTTCCTTACATACTTCCTTCCTTCCTTATTACCTTACTTCCTTTTTTACTTACTCCCTTACTTCCTTCCTTCCTTACTTACTTACTTCCTTCTTTACTTACTTACTTGAATAAGGGTTCACAGAGCCATAAGTTTTAGCGGCCCTTAACAACAACAACAACAACAACATCATCTTGATTCACTTGAAGGAAGATGAGGCAGAATGTCTTTTAAATTATTATAATGGAGGACTCAGCGCTCATGACCGAGGGCCGCATCAATGAGGTTCTGGCCGACATTTTGGTAAGAAAAATTGTATTGGGTCGGCTTTTTCAGTTTGATTCTATACCCTTTTTGTGTGTGTGGCGATGCTTGTGTGAACTTTTGGTATTTGGGGGGTTTTAAGCCTTTCTAGGCGAGGCGCTGTATGGCCCTTGTGGGTTTAGCGCTTAGTTTTGATTATAATGATGATTAGCCTTTCTAGGGGGAGGCGCTGTATGGCCCTTTTGGGTTTAGCGCTTAGTTTTGATTATAATGATGATTAGCCTTTCTAGGGGGCCTAGAGCGCTGTATGGCCCTTTAGGGATTAGACCTCCTTTTCTTGATTATAAGTGATTAGCCTTTCTACGGGGAGGTGCTGTATGGCCCTTTTGGGTTTAGCGCTTTGTTATGATTATAATGAATATAAATTACCTTTTCTAGGAGGCGCTAGATCAGATGATGTTATTTCATCATGGGTTGGAGTAGCCTCCTTTTCCTGGATGAGACGTGATTGCCTCCCATCATCGACGCTGTATGACCCTATGGGTTTAGCACTTTCAATAATAGTTATAATTCTACCTCGACACAAGATGACTTTTATAGGTTTAAAGGGTCTTGTACAAGAAAATTGATTATTTCTTCCTTGTTAACCATACAATATCAGACACAATATGACCTTAAAAGTTTATTCTCCCTAGGTTTTTCTTTCGGTTGATAATTTTTCGATCATCCTAGGTACTTGTTGGTTTTTTTGGCGTGCAACATCCGCAAATGAAAAGCAGGGGAGCCACGAGTACAATAAGAGACAACACAATAAATGTCAAGGGACCCAAGATTGTTCAACTGCCTCCCAGCATACATAAGGGGGGATTACCAATAGACCCCTGGCTGTCTTCAAGAAGGTGCTGTACAGGCACCGAAAGTCAGTACCTGACCAGGCGGGCTGTGGTTTGTATGTTGGTTTATATTCGGCCAGCAGTAACAGCCTGGTTGGTCAGGCCTTGATCCACCACGAGGCCTGGTAAAGCACTGAGCCGTGGGGGACAGTGACTCCCTGGAACATCCTCCAGGTATTCTCCAGCTAATAAAGAGATTAATCAGAGACAGCAGAAGATGAGATAATGAGTCCCTCAGTTTTGAAGGTATCCACTACCCTTGTCTTGATGACACTGAAGCATAGGCAAGAAGATGGACACTTATATGCCAAAGTGAGATAACATGCAGCAGTTATCTCAGGCTAACCTCAGGCTCAGCTCTTGGGCATGACCTACTTCCACTAGTGGGACCTGTCCGCTAGTGACAATTAGAATAATCATTCAAGCTGATGCCATTAGACATATTACTCACTCTAATTCCAGACAGCAACTCTTTACCCTATTCAAAGATCTGAATCTTTTAGATGTGCAAAGTGTCCATACATGCTATGGTGCACATTATGTAAGGGCATACCTCACTAATATGGAGGGTTAAGTTCTACACCAGTGCTGTAAAGCAAAAATTGCCTTAACCCTTAAACTGTCCAAACAGATCTATGTTCACATGCATAGTGCTCCAAAAGTAGATCTACGATTTTTACATACAGTGGTCCCTCGTTTTTCGTAGTTAATCCATTCCTGAAGTTGCTACTATTATTGAAATCTACGATTTTTGAATCAATTTTCCCCATAAGAAATAATGTAAATACAATTAATCCGTTCCTGATTCCCAGAAGTATTAAAACAAAAAAATTTTTTACATGAAATATAGATGTAGTACATAAACAATACAATGGGAAATGATGAGTGAAACATTAACAGCATAACACTTACCTTTATTGGAGAGTCTTCTTAGTGTATGGGAGACTGGAGGAGGAGAGAGATTGGATTGTTTATAGTTTGGAAGGGGAATCCCCTTCCATCAACACCTCAGGTACCAATTGCTTTTCTGGGGTTGCTTCTCTTCTCTGTTTCTTAATGCCACTAGGACCACCTTGAGAGTCACTGGAGTCCTGTCTCTCAAAATAACTGTGGAGAGAGCTCTGTTTCTGGCGTCTCGGTACATGTTGCCAACATGGCTTGAAACAACCTTGTCAGGGTGATGTTTCTCTATAAAGCATTCCATCTTACCCCACATAGCAAAAATCTCTAATTTCTGAAGAAGGCACCTTCTTCCATCTCTCTTCCTCCTCCTCTGCAGCAAGATTCTGAGCTGCGATCTGTTGCTGTTCCTGCTGAAGCTCTTGCAGCTCCTCAGTGGTGAGCTCTTCTTTACCACAGGCTTGGCACTAGGAGCTTTCTTTGAAGCCATGGTAGCTTATTTAGTACTTGCAAGCACTAAAATGAGTGGAATATTATGAAATATTTCGTAGGAGCACGTGAGGGGACCTTCGCTCACTGGTAAACAATGCCAGACTGGCTGGGTAGGGAGGCCGCCCCGGCTCACACCGTGCGTACGCGTCCCGGACGAACTACTATTCGCGAGTCAACCTATGATTAGCGAGCCCATGTTTATATGAAAATATCCCTATGATTTCTGAAACCTATGATTCCCGAGAACTACGAAAAACGAGGGACCACTGTATTTTGAAATATAACAAAAACAAATGTAGATCAAAGTTTTTTTTTTTTACACGTTTTCAAATGTAAAAAAAAAATAAAAAGAAGATCTAATTTTTTTACATACTTTCAAATGTTGAAAAAACGTAGATCTACGTTTGGACAGTTTAAGGGTTAAGGCAGATCACAGCCTTTTTTTTTTTTTTTACACTTGGCAGTGCATATAAAAGCCTAAAAATTTTTTATACTATCATTTATTAAGTGTGCAATAGCACTAGGCCTAAAAAATGATGCAATAGTAATAATAAATATTTTTTTTTAATTGCCAATAACCATTTTAAGAGAAAGACAAGTACCGAGAATAATAAACACGAATATAATTGAAAAGCGCCGTATTAGTGAAGCACCATGAAGTGAGCACCTTATTCATGAGGGATACCTGTATACAGAACACTCGAAGCAAATGTTAACTCCATGCTAAAACAATTATTGGAGAGCTGCAAGAGAACATCACATAGGCATGAAACCTGGAAACAAATATCTCCCTGATGTTGCACATGTATGACTCGGCCTGCATAAACATTATAATTAAAGGACCCAAAATTTGGAACAACCTGCCTGAAGAATCTAAAACTTTTTATTTCCCAATACCTTCAAGAACTGTCAAAAAATTTTCCCTGAATTGGATGTAAAATTTTAATGTGATTCTCAAAAACTTTATTATAATCAAATCCATTTTATTAGATACAGAACTTATTCATGCTAAATTGTCATCTCAAAAAAATATATACAGTACATGTTATAACCACGATCTAAATACTTGTAGCTACTGGTATTAAGTAGTTTTTAATTAAGGACTAGTTATTTTCCCTTGAAATGTTTCACATAATAAGGGACTTTTTTTTATAATATACAAAATGATGTAATCCAAGAGCTGAAGCTACAGTGTAATTCTAGGAAATAAAATTAGAATTTGGTTAGTGGATTTATGTTTACCTAGCAGATATCTAATTTATTATTTAATTTTTTGGCTTCAGAAAGTGGATGCTCTTCAAGAGGCTCTTGTGAACCTTCTGGTAGTACCAAAATCTGAAAAAGATACGACCCGTCTTGCTACTGTATGTACTGAGCTCCAGCGGGTGTTCACTGAGGCGTCTACAGAAGCTGCTAATGCTACAAGCGCTGCGCAAGATGGTCAGCAGGGAGCCAACCAAAAAGCAACAGAAAACACAAAGTAAGATAAGATAAGATTTTGTTTGGATTTTTAACCCGGGATAACCCAGTCATCAAGGACTGTGTGTCTTATTTCCAATGGGGTCCTCAATCTTGTCCGCCAGGATGTGACCCACACCAGTCGACTGGCACCCAGGTACCTACTTGCTTGCTAGGTGAATGAGGACAGCAGGTGTAAGGAAAGATGCCCAGTGTTTCTACCCATGCTGGGGATTAAACCACAGACACTCAGTGTGTGAGGCAAGAGCGTTTGCTACCAGGCCACGGGACACTTTTTATAATCTAATCTTCTAACAGTTATATCAATTCCATTATCATTTCCAATACAGACAGTAACAGTGTTTGGAAGATCATGGAATTTCTCACTGGTGTAAATTTAATAATTTAGTATCTTTCAGAGCCTTCACATATCAGTAATTTCATCTACTGGTAATGTCTCTGCCTTGCAATAATGTGATGAAAGATTTCTTGTCCCAGGAGTCAAAACCGTTATAGTACCTGCATTTGGGAAATGCCGGGACTTCATTTTGTAATTAGCAAAGCTACTAGTTAGAGCTAATTAACCATGTTTTCTTCTTTCTTTCAAATGAAGATATTTAGGCACAGTGTTTGGTAAAAAAAAGTATTCTTTGATTCAATAGGAATTTTTTATGAAGTTTAAGGCTTTTTTGTCATTTCTCTGCATTGTCCTGTCAGTAATTTTGAACGAATAGACTTAATAGAATAAATAACGAATAGAAAGAAAAACCAGATGTGAGCATGGGAAAACTTATGATCATATTTTGAATAAATTTCTAATCTTAGTTATCAGTTTAGGGATTGTGTGCCAAGTCAAAAGAAAGAATGCACCAAGAAGAAAACTTCACATAGTCACATTTATTCACATATCTTCCATCAGTAAAAAGTTGGATAGTCAAATTCTGCAAATTAGAAACCCTGACATTATGGGGACATCATCTTAATAATTTTATAGAATATAGTTTCTTAATATGAGAGAAGTATATAGGTAAACATTAATATCATAAAATGTTTTGCCATTTTTTTCCCCAGTTTATGTACAATACTCCATGGGGAAGTGGAACAGAATTCTTCCTCCGTAAGCCATACGTCATAAGAGGCGGCTAAAATGCCAGGAGCAAGGGGCTAGTAACCCCTTCTCCTGTGTATGTTACTAAATGTAAAAGGAGAAACTTTTATTTTTCCTTTTGGGCCACCCCGCTTCAGTGGGATACTGCCGGTGTGTTGAAAGAAAGAAAGATGTACAGTATATGGTACAATATTTATTTTTTGTACTGTACTGGTTTTGATCAAATATATTAATTCTTTTTTAATTTCAGGCCAGTTGGAGTGGAGGTTTCGACTCGAATACAGGAGACAGGAGTAAGCACAATTGTGTCCGTGTTAGCTCGGCAAAACAATGCATATCGTGCTCAGTTTGTGGCTTCGACCCTCACACATCTTTCCACTACCAACACAGTTTCACCCAAGTAGGTCACAAATAAATCTGCTCTCAACTTCCAGCCTTCCATTTACTATAACTGTCGGCATTATGCCTTTACATTCTATAATAAGATAGACGATTTAGAGTACCTTTGATAATTAAAAGTGTGCCACATTGAGTATGTTAACACTGCAACATCAAGACAGATGTACACAAATTCAGAATCTGTCATCATAATTCTGGATTGGTAATTTCTGTTAGCATAATTAAATTTTTTATGTAAAAGGAGTGGGGTATAGTACAGTGCTGTATTACCACCTGAAGAATCACACATTACAGTATGCAATAAGATCACAGTAAACAGGTGATGTCACAATATGTAAAATAACCACTGTGAAACAGTCATGAACCTCCAAGCGTTTTCATGATTTTTCATGAAAGCGCTCGGAAATTCACTATTTTTTTTCAGTTTAATATCTTTATTATGCACCCTGTGGGCAGTAGTCAAAAATAATTACAGAGGTACATAATGGGTCCAGGGACTGGACCCCAAAGTTTTGATAGCTGAACAAGTTACAAAGGCAGTGAACAGTGGTTATTTTGCATACTACAACATGTAGATGCATTATGGTACAGGATATGGAAATGTGTAAATACAGTATATTATTAAGTCAAGCTATTAACCCTTTGAGGGTTTTCGTCGTACTAGTACGTCTTACGTGTAGGGGTTTTTGACGTACTAGTACTCATAAATTCTAGCGGCCTCAAATCTAGTGGGAGAAAGCTGGTAGGCCTTCATATGAAAGAATGGGTCTATGTGGTCAGTGTGCACAGTCTAAAAAAAAATCCTGCAGCACACAGTGCATAATGAGAAAAAAAAAACTTTGACCATTTTTTTTTAATAAATCAGCGACTTTGCAGTGTATTTTCGTATGGTATTTATTGTTGTATTCTAGTTTTCATGGTCTCATTTTATAGAATGGAAGACATATTACAGAAATTGAGATGATTTTGACTGGTTTTACAAAGAAAAGTGCCTTGAAATTGAGCTCAAAGTAGCAGAAATGTTCGATTTTTACCAAACTTCAAAAGTACACAAATCGTGCCAAGCGTGCAATACACGTCAACTGGTGAGTCTAATATTCTTTCACAAGTGCACCAATAATATTTATACCATTTTTTACACTAATGCAGTAGTCTGCATAACAGTAAATCTTATATTTTTTGTGAAAATAAAAATTCAAAGTGGAAAGCAAAAGAATATAAGAGGGGCCTTGAGACGTTACTAATGACTAGAGGAAATGTCATTTTAGTGCTAGGAATGTCTTTCTTGTTTATTCTGGACCCTATTCGGAAATTGGCATCTTTTGAAATTTGTGTGAAATTGGCAAAATTGCTAAATTCTGACCACTGTACTGGATAGTTGAATTTCATAAATGAGTGGTTTCTTGCACCCATTCGATAGAAAAAATGGAGTTCTAGCGAAATATTCATGTTTTTTGTCGACTAGTACAGTGAAATTGGCCGAAAATGGGGCTCAAAGTGGGCAAAATCGCCGATGCGTAAACATCGCCGAGACCGCTAACTTTGCGAGAGCATAATTCCGTAAGTTTTCTATCAAATTTCAAACTTTTGGTGTCTTTATGATCGGGAAAAGATTCTCTATCTTTTCATAAGAGAAAATAATTTTTTTTTTTTTAAATTTGGCCGACCCTGAGAACGAGTTTCGGAGAGGGCCTGTCGACCCTCAAAGGGTTAATGCACGTGGGATTTCCCCCCTTTCTAACTGTTTTGATACAGGTGTTTTATGTAATTTGAGCATCTGGGATAGAAACACTTGTGGGAATTATAAAATTGCACATTAAATCAAGAATTAATTCTAATTTTTTATATTGTGTAACAACTGTAACAGTGATGGTGTGCTGGGTCTGTTGCCTACAACCTCACTCGGTTTTCCATTACTAAACACATTTCTTTTATTCGCACGTGTTGCCATTGATTCTACAAGTGTTGACTTGCATATCAAGTACAGTGCTTTATACACAGGTAGCTTTAATACTAAAATTCCATGTAACTAAGGATTACATTAAATATTACAGTCGATGTCAACAGGTCTCCCTCGGCACATTTCTGGCTGTCACACTCTTCAGTTTCATATTTTCTTTATTATCACTCACTATATTTATTTTCACTGATTATCTTTATTAGCACTCATTATTATGTACAAACATGGGGAAATTTAATTTGCTCTTAAAATGATGCTGTTTCTGTGTTTATTGTATGTGGATGTGTCGCAGTGGGCAGCACATAAAGACCTCTTTCCAACACTGAATTCAACATTGATACTTAGGACTTCCAACCATGACAAATTAAGTTTTTTTAATTTCATTTAACAAGCACACAGGAGTGCCGTTTTTCCTTTTCTAATAAGCCATGCTAGAAATTGTCTGGTCTCTGTTTCATATTTTTCAAAGTGGGTATTTTGTATTCTAGAGTAGTATGTCTGTGTCTCCTTATGGATGAGAATCTCATACCTGATAATGATATCTTCTGGGTAACGGCATTTGGTATCATTAAGAAAATATTAACGGGTGTGGACTACAAAGGTGTTCGGGAAATTATGAAGGTAAGATATCCCAAGCTGAATTTTAAATATGTTATCCTTGTTGATTTTGACACGTGTGTGTTGGTAATACGTAGTTCAGCAGACATATAGGAAATAATTTAAAAGAAATTCTACCTATTTTGAAGACATATAGAGTCCTTATTCTCAATTATTGCCAGGGCTATTTGTACTGGTTGACTTATGAAATTATTGTTATAGATATAGTACTTATTTCATTAAATGATGTCATTGGTAGGTACAGGAGAGTGTACTGTAATACTTTTTTGACATTACAGATGTGTCTAGAACGTGCACGACAACTACCAACCAATCTGCGAAGATCCCAACTACATCTTGTGGATGCTCTGTACGAAGTCATGAAACTGATATTTGACCGAAATGCATCCCTTCTTCCCGGGTATTTTATTGTAAATGAACTTCTTAAGCTTTATCCAGACTACAAACATTGGCCTCATTGGGTAAGGGTTCCTGCTGTGAATTCCATCATAGGCGTTGTCATCTGAACTCTCAGTTTTTTCAGTTATATACAATCTATTCCTCACTTTAATTGCAAGTTTATAATAAACTATAATAAACTGTTGTATCTGCATGCCTCTGGCAAGACAGTGATAGTGTGAATGATGGTAAAAGTTTTTTTTTTTTTTTTTTTTGGGTCACCCTGCCTCAGTGGGAGATGGCCAGCATGTTAAAAAAGAATCGAATCAAACATTTAAATGGAGTGAGTGTATAATAAATTTTTAATGATTTAAGGGATAAGAGAGCGAGAATGAGAGCATGCTGGGTAAAGTGTAGATGAAGATTATTATTGAAAGTGCTATAGGTAAGACAGAAAGTAAGATTGCAGAAGAATAAGGAAGATTTAGGAAGGGTGAAGGATGTGTAGACCAAGTGTTTAAACTTAAGCATAAAAGTGATTAATAACAAAATTGCAAAAAAAAAAAAAAAATCCAATGAATGTAAAAAAAAAAATCTTAAGGGTTTTGCAACAATTTAAGTTTGTAATTGGTGGTTTGCAAAAATATAGGTTTTTTGTATATACAATACAGTACTACTCTTATATTTACAGAAATTGGCATCACTGTTAACAGATTTTGTTGATAAGTTTAGAAGAGCTGCTCAAATGCTGTCGATAGTTGTGCGTCCAAAACTCCGCCCCATTGTAGAGCATGCTGGTTAGTGTCCTCTTAATTCTTTTATGTGAAATTATAGTTTATAAACTTGTTATACAGTATAGTAAAATATAAAACATGATTTAATGAGATGAGGAATTATATTTCACTTAATTTATCATGGCCACAAAGGGAAGAAAGTATTGTATAGATAGTGCAAGAATGACATATAAGATGTATATACACCTACCATCCGACTTACGACCGAGTTCAGTTCCGAGAAACCGTCGTAAGTCGAAATGGTCGTAAGTCGAACTTTACTACTGAATATCAACAAAACATTTTTGTAATGACTTTATTTTATTGTTTTATTTTGGTATTTCATGTTTTACTGTTGTTAGTACTGTATTTTATACTGTAAGGTTTAGGATAAACACTGTGTACAACACAAATAGTTGTTTATTTCCCAGAAATTTGACATAAAAAGCACGGTTGTAAGTCGAGTGGTCATAAGTCGAGCAGGTCGTAAGTCAGATGGTAGGTGTATACAGTTTGTTCTTATTGACTGTTGTGTGCCTTGACAATGTTAAATATATTAAATATAGCCTGGTCATGGACTGGGCTGCAGGGGCATTGACCTCTGGAACACACTCCAGGTATACATTAACCATTTCTCATTAAGACAGGGCAATCCAAATAAAGAAAAATACATTCATTAGTGTCTGCTAATTTATTTTCCTCATTATTGTTACTCTTTTTAAATTTATTCATATTGCTTCAGGGCACAATAGTCCTTCCATCAACTCGTGGAAACTCGATTCTGTGACACTGAAATTCCAGCTGAAGGGTGCCCTGCCGTACACTCCAGAGCTGCTAGAGCCTCAGCCGTTTCTTCTGCGATATATTCTCAGGCAGCCATACTCTCGGGAGATGGTTTGCACTGTGATAGACATACAGAAAAAAGTGAGTTGTTAACTGAAACTGTTGTATGTTTGTAAAAAATGAATTACAAATGCATATTCAAAATAAATCATAATTATCTTAAAAAGGTCATGTATATATTGGTGAATGTCATAATAAAAGATAAAGGTAAAGACTTTATTTCTTTGCAAAGGTTACAATGTATAATTACAATTTTGATTTGTTAAGTACAAAGAAAGCCATTATCATGCTGGAGCATTTTGGGCAGACTAATGTCTTTAAAGCTGAAATTATGCTTAATGTCTTGAAAAACTGAAATTATGCTCACTGACTAATATGTACAAATGAGAAGACCAGATATTTACCATGTCTCAAGACTCACGAAATCATAACAACACGATTGTAAACAATCACAGAATGGGCGGAGTTTGAACCCATGGCAAGTGAATCCTAAAACTCCAGGCTGGTACATTCTTTACGTTGAACATCTCGGGCCAGTAATGGGAAACGAGGTACTTGGTAAATACTGTGTCAGCCATTGCTTGGAGACCTTGTAGTCAGATAAAAGTGATTTTGTTATTTAATGCTGGTAAATAATATAGTCGGACTTGAGTCCTGGAAATGGGAAGTACAATGCCTGCACTTTAAAGGAGGGGTTTGGGATATTGGCAGTTTGGAGGGATATGTTGTGTATCTTTATATGTGTATGCTTCTAGACTGTTGTATTCTGAGCACCTCTGCAAAAACAGTGATAATGTGCGAGTGTGGTGAAAGTGTTGAATGATGATGAAAGTATTTTCTTTTTGGGGATTTTCTTTCTTTTTTGGGTCACCCTGCCTCGGTGGGAGACGGCCGACTTGTTGAAAAAAAACAAAAAAATAAAATAAATAAATGAGTTCTCCATGGGGAAGTGGAACAGAATTCTTCCTCCGTAAGCCATGCGTGTTGTAAGAGGCGACTAAAATGCCAGGAGCAAGGGGCTAGTAACCCCTTCTCCTGTATATATTACTAAATGTAAAAGGAGAAACTTTCGTTTTTCCTTTTGGGCCACCCCGCCTCGGTGGGATACGGCCGGTGTGTTGAAAGAAGAAGAAATAAATGAGTAAGACATTTTGTGTAGCAGTAAAAAATTTCATTAAGACTAAAGTTAACATTTGCAAAAAGATCTAGGCCTCATTTTGTTGAAAGTTTTGACTAGTCCAAGGGAATCTATTGAAGGGTGGAGGTGGAACAAGTCTAGACTGAGTGAAAAGTTACATGGAGATTTATAACGGGGCTTAAGGGCATATCTGATTAGCAGAGATTTCTGAGTAGTTCATCAGAACTGGGGCTGTATACAGAAAGTACAATCACTTAGTAGCAAGACAGAACAAAAAGGCACAATACTATGAATGGAAGAATACACAAATAACCTGCCCCTAGGAGAAAGAAACTTAGGACGATGTTTTGGTCCAACTTGGGCCATTAACTAGTCACACACTAACACACAATACCACAGGCACTTCTTGAGAGGAGGAGGGGGATGGGGTTCCTTGATACCAGTGAAGGCCTCCTGAATTAAGGAGTTGCATTAGCCTTCTTCCTTGGATCACATCTGATTACCTCCCATTTCCCAAGTCCTGTATGACCATTGCAGGTTTAATGCCTCTCAGTGAATAGTATAATAAAATCCACATATGCTATACAGTGGACCCCCGCATAACGATCACCTCCGAATGCGACCAATTATGTAAGTGTATTTATGTAAGTGCGTTTGTACGTTTATGTTTGGGGGTCTGAAATGGACTAATCTACTTCACAATATTCCTTATGGGAACAAATTCGGTCAGTACTGGCACCTGAACATACTTCTGGAGTGAAAAAATATCGTTAATCAGGAGTCCACTGTATTTGATTGTATTCATAGGTTTTGACAGTAGCTATTTTATAAGTGATTTTTGTAGAGCAAGAGATATTTAGTACTGCACTTCGAATCTTGACTTGTTTTTTCAAAAATGCAGAAAATTACTAGTAATATCCTTCTCTTTTTTTTATCTGATGACTCATAAGTACTCGACTTGATAAAATTATTTTTGTTTATTATAGCAAAAGCAGCGATGTATTGCCCTGGAGGAACAGCTGGTGGAGCTGATAATAGCCGCTTTAGAACAAGACTGTAGTCGTGTGGATAACTCTGGCAGTGGCTCCTCCACCAATGGCTCACCTAGTAATGGCTCCTCCTCTACTTGTGCAGATCACAGTCCTTGTTTTTGTGCACATCTGTCATCTCTTCTCATCTATTTCGTCTTGTTCCAGCTCATTTCGTTTCCATCTTTGGTTCTGAGATTGCATGAGAAGGTAAGATGCAGTTTAATATACAATCATGCTCTGTCAATCATTTTAAGACTTACAGTTTTCCAAAACTACCGAATTTCCTCAATATATACATTAAAGATTCACATTACCCTCTGAAGTGCAACATCCCTCCCCTTCCTGAGAGTGCAGGCATTGTAATTTTAACCTCCAGGAATCAAGTCCAGTTAACTCTTTTTTGTAAATCTCTCTATAAATGTTACCTTGTTCATACTCCAACAGCATATCAAGCCATAAAAATCAATTGTTTCCTCTCACTCCCATCTAAAACAGTCACATAAGCCTGCTGGATGCTCAAGCCCCTACCACTAAAAACCTCCTTTACCCCCTCCCTCCAGTTCTTTTGGGTCGACCTCTACCCATCTTTCCTTCCCTAGATTTATATATCCTCTTGGTCATCATATTCTTCTCTATGCTCTCTATAATATAAGAGGATTATGAGAGGTTAATAAATGTATCTTCATCTTACTGGCATCACTTTAGAAGTTTAAAGTTTTCTTCTTACAATGGATGTGTGGAATACAGTACATACCTTCTAGTGATCAGTACCACAATCTCAATAACTCTGATATACTATGTTAGTACTGATTAATTCCTATTTGTCTTTTGTGTGTGTGTGTGTCATAATTTAATCTCTAAGAGTTGGGGTGTTCAGAGAAGGTTTTAGGTAGACTTGGGAGCTGCTTCACAAAAAATGTCATCAATCTATTTCATTATTAGAAATTTTTGGTTACTTATATGAGAGTGTACTTGTACTGGTTTCTCTGTGAAAAATTCACTTTTAATTCTTTTTAGTATGATAAATGTTGTTTTTTTCAACATACCAGCCATCTCCCACCAAGAAGAAAACTGTATGAAGTTTCTCTTCTTTTTACATTTAGTAATTTATACTGAAGTGGATAAGAATCCTTCCTTCATAAGCCATACATGTCATAAGAGGCCACTAAAATGCCAGGAGCAATGGGCTAGTAATCGCTTCTGTGTAAATTACTAAATGTAGACAAATCTCAGCACGTTAAGAGACCATACAATAAGTGTCAGGGGCCCGAGACTGTTCAACTGCCTCCCAGCACACATAAGGGGGATTACCAACAGACCCCTGGCAGTCTTCAAGCTGGCACTGGACAAGCACCTAAAGTCAGTTCCTGATCAGCCGGGCTGTGGCTCATACGTTGGTTTGCGTGCAGCCAGCAGCAACAGCCTGGTTGATCAGGCTCTGATCCACCAGGAGGCCTGGTCACAGACCGGGCCGCGGGGGCGTTGACCCCCGGAACTCTCTCCAGGTAACTCCAGGTCTCCAGGTGGGGTTAGAACCCATGGTGAGTCATAAAACTCCAGGCCAGTACACAAGCCACTGGGCCAGCTGGCTGCAATAAGATTCATTTAGTAAATTACTGAATGTAAAAAGAAGAAAAACTCTACAGAAGCATTTCTTCCTTGTCAGGTCACCCTGCCTCAGTGGAAGACAGCCAGTGTGTTAAAAAAAAAATTAGTTTTTTTTCCCCAGCTCAAGGCAAAAGGTAGACACCAAGGACGGGACCACCTGATGTGGGTTCTCTTGCAGTTTCTCTCTGGCAGTATACAGAAGAATCAGTTCTCAGACTTTCTCCCGGTTCTCAGACTCATTGGTAAGTTATATCAATCATTATAAGAGAAAACTGAATCTATATGTGGCGCTATGAAGTGGATTCAAACAAACTTTATTTCTTTCTGCAGTATACAAATTGTAGTTTACATGTTATAAAATATTGTTAAGCACAAAGAAAGCCACTAGCATGTGGTTCATTTTTGGTGGACTAATCCTAATGCTTACAGACTACTTAGGAACTAGACATAGGCTTTTTTTTTTTTACGATCCATACTGCTGCTCCTGCATAGTGAAGGGTGAGGGGCTCTTGATTTAGGGAATTGGATCTGTACTCCAGTTCCCTGAATTAAGCCTGAATGCCTTCCATCTGCCTCCACAGGCATTATATAATCCCTACGGGTTTAGGAGTGGTTTGGGATATTGTCCGTTTGGAGTGACATCTAAACTGTTGTATCTGAGCACCTCTGCGAAGACAGTAATTATGTGTGAATGATGGTGAAAGTGGCTTTTTTTGGGTCACCCTGCCTGGGTGGGAGATGGCCGACGTGTTGAAAAAATAATAAAATAATAATGATATACAGTGAAGTAATATACAGTAACCCATTTACTGTTTCAGAGGTGCTGTATCCCGAGCCTGAACCAATACCAGTACCTGACTACTCTGACCCTCGGTGTGTCATGCAGATGGCTGCCATGTGTATTTTGATGCACATATTGAAGAAGGCTCAGGCAGACAATATTAAGACACCTCGCTCGCTGCCACCTGTGTTTAAGAACCACCATGAGTATGTATAGATTACAAATTCACCTGTGATGAAGAATCATTATGAGTACATGTAGATTACAAGTTCACCTTTTAGGAAGTATTCCACTCAATTTTTGTGCTTGTAGTTACTAAAATCTCTTATGATATCTATTTTTTCTGAAGATTAAAATGTCTGAATGCAAAATTAGAAGAGTATTATGTGTAGAAATATCAAGAAATCAAAGCCTATATAATCATGACATTCAAAGCAAGTTGTGGGCTCTGTCATTGCTTGACCTCCTCCTTCAACTCATAATCGTACTGTATGTATTTCTGCTAGGATTGAAGCCAAGCTTATTCTTTGCTTTGGTAAACATGGTTTTTTGAAAAGGAAATTTGACCATTTATACTTGTCCAACTCTGAGGATCATCAAAGGTCCTTAACAAAATATAAATTTTGCAAGTAGTCACTAGAAATGCAAGAGTAGTGTATGATTTTGTAGAACTGTAATATTGTAGTATAGTATTTGTATTTGTATTGTAGTAGTATTTGTATTTGCTGGGAGTAGTTCTGGCTATTGGTCATGCCTAGTATTGTAATTCTAGTGTATTTCTCTTTGCTCACCTTTAATTAATCTTCACATAAACTATTGGCAAGTGGTTTTTATGACTTAAAGTGCTATTGGAGTGTGAGCAAAGTAACATTTATGAAGGGATTCAGAGGAACTGGTTAGTTGGACTTGAGTCCTGGAGGTGGGAAATACAGTGCCTGCACTCTGAAGGAGGGGTGGAGATATGTATGTTGTAGTTATTGAACTAGTATTAGCACACATTCATATTCTCTTTTCTCCTTCCATAACTGATCATTTAACATTACTGCTACCCCTTCCTTTGCTCTAACTCTCTCAGATACTCCAGATTTAATCCCATTTATTTCCCCCCACTGAAACTCTCCTACCCCCTTCAGCTTTGTTTCGCTTAGGGCCAGGACATCCAACTTCTTTTCATTCATAACATCAGCAATCATCTGTTTCTTGTCATCCGCACTACATCCACGCACATTTAAGCAACCCAGTTTTATAAAGTTTTTCTTCTTCTCTTTTTTAGTAATTGTATACAGGAGAAGGGGTTACTAGCCCATTGCTCCCGGCATTTTAGTCGCCTCATACGACACGCATGGCTTACGGAGGAAAGATTCTTTTCCACTTCCCCATGGACAATAGAAGAAATAAAAAAGAACAAGAGCTATTTAGAAAAAGGAGAAAAACCTAGATGTATGTATATATATATATGCATGTGCGTGTCTGTGAAGTGTGACCAAAGTGTAAGTAGGAGTAGCAAGATATCCCTGTTATCTTAGCGTGTTTATGAGACAGAAAAAGAATTATGTGGATTAAAGTAAAGGTTGGATGCGAGAAGTGGGTCATAATAAGCGTGTATGCACCTGGAGAAGAGAGGAATGCAGAGGAGAGAGAGAGATTTTGGGAGATGTTAAGTGAATGTATAGGAGCCTTTGAACCAAGTGAGAGAGTAATTGTGGTAGGGGACTTGAATGCTAAAGTAGGAGAAACTTTTAGAGAGGGTGTGGTAGGTAAGTTTGGGGTGCCAGGTGTAAATGATAATGGGAGCCCTTTGATTGAACTTTGTATAGAAAGGGGTTTAGTTATAGGTAATACATATTTTAAGAAAAAGAGGATAAATAAGTATACACGATATGATGTAGGGCGAAATGACAGTAGTTTGTTGGATTATGTATTGGTAGATAAAAGACTGTTGAGTAGACTTCAGGATGTACATGTTTATAGAGGGGCCACAGATATATCAGATCACTTTCTAGTTGTAGCTACACTGAGAGTAAAAGGTAGATGGGATACAAGGAGAATAGAAGCATCAGGGAAGAGAGAGGTGAAGGTTTATAAACTAAAAGAGGAGGCAGTTAGGGTAAGATATAAACAGCTATTGGAGATAGATGGGCTAATGAGAGCATAGGCAATGGGGTCGAAGAGGTATGGGTAGGTTTAAAAAATGTAGTGTTAGAGTGTTCAGCAGAAGTTTGTGGTTACAGGAAAGTGGGTGCAGGAGGGAAGAGGAGCGATTGGTGGAATGATGATGTAAAGAGAGTAGTAAGGGAGAAAAAGTTAGCATATGAGAAGTTTTTACAAAGTAGAAGTGATGCAAGGAGGGAAGAGTATATGGAGAAAAAGAGAGAAGTTAAGAGAGTGGTGAAGCAATGTAAAAAGAGAGCAAATGAGAGAGTGGGTGAGATGTTATCAACAAATTTTGTTGAAAATAAGAAAAAGTTTTGGAGTGAGATTAACAAGTTAAGAAAGCCTAGAGAACAAATGGATTTGTCAGTTAAAAATAGGAGAGGAGAGTTATTAAATGGAGAGGTAGAGGTATTGGGAAGATGGAAGGAATATTTTGAGGAATTGTTAAATGTTGATGAAGATAGGGAAGCTGTGATTTCGTGTATAGGGCAAGGAGGAATAACATCTTGTAGGAGTGAGGAAGAGCCAGTTGTGAGTGTGGGGAAGTTCGTGAGGCAGTAGGTAAAATGAAAGGGGGTAAGGCAGCGGGATTGATGGGATAAAGATAGAAATGTTAAAAGCAGGTGGGGATATAGTTTTGGAGTGGTTGGTGCAATTATTTAATAAATGTATGGAAGAGGGTAAGGTACCTAGGGATTGGCAGAGAGCATGCATAGTTCCTTTGTATAAAGGCAAAGGGGATAAAAGAGAGTGCAAAAATTATAGGGGGATAAGTCTGTTGAGTGTACCTGGTAAAGTGTATGGTAGAGTTATAATTGAAAGAATTAAGAGTAAGACGGAGAATAGGATAGCAGATGAACAAGGAGGCTTTAGGAAAGGTAGGGGTGTGTGGACCAGGTGTTTACAGTGAAACATATAAGTGAACAGTATTTAGATAAGGCTAAAGAGGTCTTTGTGGCATTTATGGATTTGGAAAAGGCGTATGACAGGGTGGATAGGGGGCAATGTGGCAGATGTTGCAAGTGTATGGTGTAGGAGGTAGGTTACTGAAAGCAGTGAAGAGTTTTTACGAGGATAGTGAGGCTCAAGTTAGAGTATGTAGGAAAGAGGGAAATTTTTTTCCCAGTAAAAGTAGGCCTTAGACAAGGATGTGTGATGTCACCGTGGTTGTTTAATATATTTATAGATGGGGTTGTAAGAGAAGTAAATGCGAGGGTCTTGGCAAGAGGCGTGGAGTTAAAAGATAAAGAATCACACACAAAGTGGGAGTTGTCACAGCTGCTCTTTGCCGATGACACTGTGCTCTTGGAGATTCTGAAGAGAAGTTGCAGAGATTGGTGGATGAATTGGTAGGGTGTGCAAAAGAAGAAAATTAAAGGTGAATACAGGAAAGAGTAAGGTTATGAGGATAACAAAAAGATTAGGTGATGAAAGATTGAATATCAGATTGGAGGAGAGAGTATGGAGGAGGTGAACGTATTCAGATATTTGGGAGTGGACGTGTCAGCGGATGGGTCTATGAAAGATGAGGTGAATCATAGAATTGATGAGGGAAAAAGAGTGAGTGGTGCACTTAGGAGTCTGTGGAGACAAAGAACTTTGTCCTTGGAGGCAAAGAGGGGAATGTATGAGAGTATAGTTTTACCAACGCTCTTATATGGGTGTGAAGCGTGGGTGATGAATGTTGCAGCGAGGAGAAGGCTGGAGGCAGTGGAGATGTCATGTCTGAGGGCAATGTGTGGGTGTGAATATAATGCAGAGAATTCGTAGTTTGGAAGTTAGGAGGAGGTGCGGGATTACCAAAACTGTTGTCCAGAGGGCTGAGGAAGGGTTGTTGAGGTGTTCGGACATGTAGAGAGAATGGAGCGAAACAGAATGACTTCAAGAGTGTATCAGTCTGTAGTGGAAGGAAGGCGGGGTAGGGGTCGGCCTAGGAAGGGTTGGAGGGAGGGGTAAAGGAGGTTTTGTGTGCGAGGGGCTTGGACTTCCAGCAGGCATGCGTGAGCGTGTTTGATAGGAGTGAATGGAGACAAATGGTTTTTAATACTTGACGTGCTGTTGGAGTGTGAGCAAAGTAACATTTATGAAGGGATTCAGGGAAACCGGCAGGCCGGACTTGAGTCCTGGAGATGGGAAGTACAGTGCCTGCACTCTGAAGGAGGGTGTTAATGTTGCAGTTTAAAAACTGTAGTGTAAAGCACCCTTCTGGCAAGACAGTGATGGAGTGAATGATGGTGAAAGTTTTTCTTTTTCGGGCCACCCTGCCTTGGTGGGAATCGGCCGGTGTGATAATAAAAAAAAAAATATAAATATTAGCACACCTCTGGCAAGACAGTGATGGAGCGAGTGATGATGAGTGTTTCTTCTCTTTCAGTCACCCTGCCTCGGTGGAAAATGGTCGATGTGTTAAAAAACTATTGATAGTCAAAATTAGATTATACATGTTAAACTGTAGGTTTGATCTCAAATTCTGGAAGCTTGGTATAACAGAACTTTGTGCTCCTGAGTCCATCAACCTGAGATAAATGCCTGACCTGTATTAGTTCAAATGATATTATGCTCTTTTTTTGTAAGTGGGCTTGACTGGCTCTCTTTTGTAATTTTGCTAAAGAATACTTGTGGAGTTGATGTGAAGAAGTATTTTTCTCGACAGGTTTCTTCAAAGCTTGGCCCTTAACCCACAGTTACCGCTCATTACTGCTGGTACGCCACCTGACTACAGAATTGCCCTGCTGTTAAATGCTTATTCTACTAATCAGGTAATATTTCACCATTATTACTGTAAATAATTCATGGAACAGGTGGGGTTCAAACTAATGGCAAGCAAGGCCTACAATTCACAGGCCAGTGTGTTAACCACTTGGCCAGCTGGCTCTAATAAGATGCATCCAGCATCCATGCTAACCTCAATATGGTGTATAAAAATGTATCTAGTTGAATGAATCTTATAGAACCAACTAGTCCAGTGGTTGACGCACTGGCCTGTGTATTTTAGCACTCGCTCACCATGAGTTCAAACCTCACCCGTTCTGTAATTTCCTTTCAATCTTATTATGATTTTGTGAGTCATTACTACTGTAACATTTTAATTTTGGTCAGGTTTACTCAATAACCATGATTTTTCCAAGGAAGCTTCAGATTCTGCCCATAATGCTTGTTTTACCAACTAAACCTGTGTCTTTCCCAAATCTGTAATCTTCTTAGAGAGTTTTAAAGCTGGATAAAATGCATTTAAAAAATACTCATGAGCTTAATAATAATATTTTACTTATTCTTGTAAGGCATAACAGAAGAAAAATAAATGGATGTTAGTACTGTACTTGGGATAAAATTTTATTAGAAAGCATACATGTATGTTGATTTCCATGGGGAAGTGGAACAGAATTCTTCTTCCGTAACCATGCGTGTCGTAAGAGGCGACTAAAATGCCGGGAGCAAGGGGCTAGTAACCCTTCTGTATACATTACTAAATTTAAAAGGAAAACTTTTTTTTTGGGGGGGAGTCACCCTGCCTTGGTGGGATATGGTCAGTTTAAAAAAAAAAATATTGATAGTTGCAGCTGTTGATCTACACCCTCTCCCTACACAGGAATATTTTCAGAGACCCATTCTCATATTGTCTGAAAGTATTCAGGGAAATCAGAAATCCACTGTTCCAATGCCAGGCATAAACTGCGTAGCCCTGGGCAGCACCTCACCTCTCTCCATAACCTTTCTTGATGCCCTCACAGTGCACGTCAAGATGAGTCTCGTACACAACATTGGACAGGTGTGTACACTACTTTTCCTTTATTATATAAGTTTTTAAGTTAATCTGATATAATGATTTTATAGACATATAACTAACCTCCCCAAAATTTGGATGTATTGCTTGGACTTACAGGAATAAGTAAGTCTGGAAATATTAATAAAACATCATATGAGGCTATGATGTCCAAGATGAGGACAGATTGGTACAATCATACAGCAGTTAAAACAAATAATTTATTTTCAGCACATTCAAAAACAAGCACAGCATAAATCTGGGGTAGCACTGGCCCCAGCACTCATCGAAACTTATGCACGACTTCTGGTTTACACCGAGATTGAGAGTATTGGAATCAAGACTTTCATAAGTGAGTGTGAAGAGATTCTTTTTATTTTTAACACACTGGCCATCTTCCACTGATTCAAGGTGGCCCAAAAAGAAAAACAAAAGTTTCTCTTTTTAAATTTAGTAATTTATGCAGGAGAAGGGGTTACTAGCCTCATGCTTCCCTCAAGGGAGGTTTCTTGATGCTGGTGAGGGGCTCTTGATCTAGGGAATTGGATCTGTGCTCCAGTTCCCTGAATTGAGCCTGAATACCTTCCATTTCCCCCCCCCACGTGCTGTATAATCCTACTGGTTTAGCGCTCCCCATGATTATGATAATAATAATAGCCCCTTGCTTCTGGCATTTTAGTTGCCTCTCATGACATGCATGGCTTACGGAGGAAGAATTCGGTTTCACCTCCTCATGGAGATAAGAGGAAATAAACAAGAAGAAGAACCAGTACATACATGTGTAGTGTGACCTAAGTGTAAATAGAAGTAGCAAGATGTACCTGAAATTTTGCATGTTTATGAGACAGAAAAAAGACACCAGCAATCCTATCATCATGTACAGCACTGTATAGCCCTTGTGGTTTAGTGCTTCTTTTGATTCTTTCTTTGTTTCTTTCAACAAACCGGCCGTATCCCACCGAGGCGGGGTGGCCCAAAAAGAAAAACGAGTTTCTCATTTTAAATTTAGTTATTTATACAGGAGAAGGGGTTACTAGCCCCTTGCTCCTGGCATTTTAGTCGCCTCTTACAACACGCATGGCTTACGGAGGAAGAATTCTGTTCTACTTCCCCATGGAGATAAGAGGTAATAAACAAGAACAAGAACTAGTAAGAAAATAGAAGAAAACCCAGAGGGGTGTGTATATATATGCTTGTACATGTATGTATAGCGTGACCTAAGTGTAGGTAGAAGTAGCAAGCCGTGCCTGAAACCTTGCATGTTTATGAGACAGAAAAATGGACACCAGCAATCCTACCATCATGTAAAACAATTACAGGCTTTCGTTTTACGTCACTTGGCAGGACAGTAGTACCTCCCTGGGCATTGCTGTCTACCAACCTGTTACCTAGGTTTCTTTTTTTTTTTTTTCTCTTTTTTTTTTTCAACAAGTCGGCCGTCTCCCACCGAGGCAGGGTGACCCAAAAAAAGAAAGAAAATCCCCAAAAAGAAAATACTTTCATCATCATTCAACACTTTCACCACACTCGCACATTATCACTGTTTTTGCAGAGGTGCTCAGAATACAACAGTCTAGAAGCATACACATATAAAGATACACAACATATCCCTCCAAACTGCCAATATCCCAAACCCCTCCTTTAAAGTGCAGGCATTGTACTTCCCATTTCCAGGACTCAAGTCCGACTGTATGAAAATAACCGGTTTCCCTGAATCCCTTCACTAAATATTACCCTGCTCACACTCCAACAGATCGTCAGGTCCCAAGTACCATTCGTCTCCATTCACTCCTATCTAACATGCTCATGCACGCTTGCTGGAAGTCCAAGCCCCTTGCCCACAAAACCTCCTTTACCCCCTCTCTCCAACCCTTTCGAGGACGACCCCTACCCCGCCTTCCTTCCCCTATAGATTTATATGCTTTCCATGTCATTCTACTTTGATCCATTCTCTCTAAATGACCAAACCCCCTCAACAACCCCTCTTCTGCCCTCTGACTAATACTTTTATTAACTCCACACCTTTTTCCTAATTTCCACACTCCGAATTTTCTGCATAATATTTACACCACACATTGCCCTTAAACAAGACATCTCCACTGCCTCCAACCGTCTCCTCGCTGCTGCATTTACCACCCAAGCTTCACACCCATATAAGAGTGTTGGTACTACTATACTTCATACATTCCCTTCTTTGCCTCCATAGATAACGTTTTTTGACTCCACATATACCTCAACGCACCACTCACCTTTTTTCCCTCATCAATTCTATGATTAACCTCATCCTTCATAAATCCATCCGCCGACACGTCAACTCCCAAGTATCTGAAAACATTCACTTCTTCCATACTCCTCCTCCCCAATTTGATATCCAATTTTTCTTTATCTAAATCATTTGACACCCTCATCACCTTACTCTTTTCTATGTTCACTTTCAACTTTCTACCTTTACACACATTCCCAAACTCATCCACTAACCTTTGCAATTTTTCTTTAGAATCTTCCATAAGCATAGTATCATCAGCAAAAAGTAACTGTGTCAATTCCCATTTTGAATTTGATTCCCCAAAATTTAATCCCACCCCTCTCCCGAACATCCTAGCATTTACTTCCTTTACAACCCCATCTATAAATATATTAAACAACCATGGTGACATTACACATCCCTGTCTAAGACCTACTTTTACCAGGAAGTAGTCTCCCTCTCATCTACACACCCTAACCTGAGCCTCACTATCCTCATAAAAACTCTTTACAGCATTTAATAACTTACCACCAATTCCATATACTTGCAACATCTGCCACATTGCTCCTCTATCCACTCTATCATATGCCTTTTCTAAATCCATAAATGCAATAAAAACTTCCTACCTTTATCTAAATACTGTTCACATATAGCTTCAATGTAAACACTTGATCTACACATCCCCTACCCACTCTGAAACCTCCTTGCTCATCCGCAATCTTACATTCTGTCTTACCTCTAATTCTTTCAATTATAACCCTAACCGTACACTTTTCCTGGTATACTCAGTAAGCTTATTCCTCTATAATTTTTACAGTCTCTTTTGTCCCCTTTTCCCTTTATATAAAGGGACTATACATGCTCTCCTCCAATCCCTAGGTACCTTCCCCTCTTTCATACATTTATTAAACAAAAGTACCAACCACTCCAACACTATATCCCCCCCTGCTTTTAACATTTCTGTCATGATCCCATCATTCCAGCTGCTTTACCCCCTTTCATTTTACGTAATGCCTCACGTACCTCCCCCACACTTACATTCTGCTCTTCTTCACTCTAAAAGATGGTATACCTCCCTGACCAGTGCATGAAATTACTGCCTCTGTTTCTTCCTTAACATTTAAAAGTTCCTCAAAATATTCTCGCCATCTACCTAATACCTCCATCTCCCCATCTACTAACTCCCCTACTCTGTTTTTAACTGACAAATCCATACTTTCCCTAGCTTTTTTAACTTGTTTAACTCACTCCAAAATTTGTTCTTATTTTCATTAAAATTTCTTGACAGTGCCTCTCCCACTCTATCATCTGCTCTCCTTTTGCACTCTCTCACCACTCTCTTTACCTTTCTTTTACTCTCCATATACTCTGCTCTTCTTATAACACTTCTGCTTTGTAAAAACCTCTCATAAGCTACCTTTTTCTCTTTTATCACACCCTTTACTTCATCATTCCACCAATCACTCCTCTTTCCTCCTGCCCCCACCCTCCTATAACCACAAACTTCTGCCCCACATTCTAATACTGCATTTTTAAAACTATTCCAACCCTCTTCAACCCCCCTACTACTCATCTTTGCACTAGCCTACCTCTCTGCCAGTAGTCGCTTATATCTCACCCAAACTTCAGTAATTTATGCAGGAGAAGGGGCTACTAGCCCCTTGCTCCCGGCATTTTAGTCACCGTTTACAACATGTACAGCTTATTGGCTTATGGAAGAATTCTTTTTTACTTTCCCATGGAAAAGTGTGAAGAGATCGTTGAATATAAGTGGAGTTGCTTTTACCTTGTATTGTACTTTGATATTATTTGTAACTCATTGGCTATTTGCTACCAAGCCAAGGGCATCCAAAGGAAAACACATTCACCCTCATTTTAGTAGCCTTTTCTGATGTTCACCCACTGAATCTCAGATATTTTTTCCATGTTCTCATAGTGAAGGCACTCTACTTACTAACTACCAAAACTCAAGACTGCCTAGTCAATGCCTTTACTCTTTCATAGATATACCTAGTTCACACTTAACAACTCTTGAGGTATGATAGATCACTCTCCTCTGCTTACACTGATCTAGTATGTTCAAGCTCATACCTCTTAATAAATCTTTAACGACTTCCTTCCATGAATAAATGGTTTAAAAAACTAACAATATGGTAAATGAGATACTTTTGAAACATTTGGGTATCTTGATTCTGGCAAAATGTTTCCAGAATAAGGATACCCAAATGTTTCACAAATGTCTCATTTATCATCTTCCATCCAGCCCATCTCAACAACCTCTGATCTGATCTTTGATTTATACATTTCATTTTGCTACATCTTTCATTCTCTTCTTAATATTCACACTACACGTTAATCACAGCTAAGATATTGTCATACCTTCCACCTCTTTTCTCTTACATTTAAAGACTCAGTGTCACACCCCTATGAAACTTTAGCACCGTTATGCTCTGAAACATTTTTATTTTTTGCATCCATTGACAGATTTCTTTTTTCTATAGACTTGTCATTCTTCCTTTTGTTAATCTGATTTACCTCATCTTTCATAGACCTACATTGTCTTCTGATGCTTCCACTCTGAGGTATTTATAATTATTCACCTCCACCATACTCTATCTTTCTATTCTGACCTGTAACTATTTGTTAATTTGTACTTCTCATAATCATGTTATTTTCTGCATTCATTTTTCAGTTTCCTTTCTTTAACATTTTCTTCTAAACTCCTACAAATCTCTGCAATTTCTCTTCAGAATCTCCCAGTAACACACCAGAATCATTATTATTCAGAATCACACCTTTTCAAAACAGACCAGCATTCACTTCCACAACATCCACCTGTCAACACACTAAATAATAAATACCCGTGGCAGCATCACATATACTTGTCTAAGTCTCATTCTTATTGGAAATAATTCCTCTCTTTCCTGACATGTAACTCGTTTTCTGGTCTACGTTAATTTTTTTATAATATTCCCTCCATCGCTCAAATGCCTCTGCCTCCTTATTAAGCATTTCACAGCTTTCATTCTCAACACACATCCTCTTGCTTCCTTGGTTTCTTCATAATAGTTATCTCTAAAACTTTTTTTTATTTTGTAGGTAGTAGGTAAGTAGACAACAGCCATCCATACAAGCAAAGCAGAAGTCTGTTTAATGTTTTGGACTCTGCCATGATTATAGGTTTTCTCTTTCTGTCTCATGAACAAACACGATGATAGGTAAATCCTACAATGTCATATGTTTAGGATACACTCATCTTTACTTTTCTCTGTATTTCTTAATAGTTGTTATTCCTGAACTATTTCCTTACTGGTTCATGAGACCTGGTCTGAGGTCTTGTTGCAAGGGCAGCCATCCCTGGAGCTATAAGCTGATGCCATATATAAGGGAAGTAGGCACAAAAATGTAAAAATTTTGCTGAGAATGTGCATTGTAGTGGTTAAGGACTGGGAGTCATCATCCATTTGGACTGGTCCCAAAACAGTTTACGATTTTTATTGTGAGTTGTGAAATATTTCCTCTTGTTGTGTGATATCTGTGCTACCATAATAATATTATTTGATATTATGTGCAATTGGTTATCTTTTTGGTGTCTGCAGTGCTTGATGCTATCTACTGCTATCTAAAGAAACAGAACTAGAGAGACTTAGTTTGCTTCAGAAGCTCTCTGGACAACTGTTGAATGAACGGCTTTCTCCTCTACAGCAAATCTGCTGCCAGTGGTTTACAAGAGTCATGTGTGGAGCATATTACACGCTCTACTGGAGATGTTCATCCACCGCATTCACCACTCTCCACCACAGTACCGCATTCAGCTGCTCTCCACCATCCACCACATGGTGGCGGTCCCCCTCAATGCCATGACTCAAATGACACAACTGCACTTATGGTAAGAGTTAATTCATAGGTTAAATAAGAGTACAGTAAAGCTTTGATTTAACAAACCTCAATTTAAAAGATTTTGGATTATGCAGGCAAAATCAGGTCATTAGACAAAGTCCTCAAACAGTGGACATGTCTATTGTTTACAGAATTGTCAGGTATTGTTAATGTCATGTATGAATTACTAAATGTAAAAAGAAAAACCTTCATTTTCCTTTTTAGGTTACCCTGCCTCGGTGGGAGAAGACCAGTGCATTAAAAAAAAAAGTAAATGCAGTTGGTACAACCAGACAGCCTCTCCCCCTGTTAGCCTGTATAAATAAATCAAAGTGTCACTGTACAAGTGTCTCTCATTTTGCTAAACTCAAAAGATGGACCTAATTTCAAAGCAGTCTTCTTTGAGATTGGATCCATCTTCTTGAAACACCCTGTACTTAATTCTGCTTAATAAGACTCATTAAGTATACTTTGCAGACCACACTAATTTCATACATCAGATGTATATTGTATGTGGGGAATTATCCATAGAAATGGGGCATCATATAATAGTGAATTTGCATAAGCAAAATTACATAAAAAGAGAAAACTCCTATATACAGATGCTCCTCGATTTACAATGGGGTTATGCTCCAACGAACCCATTCTAAGTAGAAAATATCATGCGTCAAATATGAATACGATATGCTAAATAAATAAATAATTACTCTTACTGAATAAGTAAATAAATAATTACTGTAACTAAGTAAATAGTGCCAGCAGTGAAAACTAAATACATGAATACAAGTTACAGACTTGTCACCTTCGTGTTGGGTAACTATCTCAAGTTTCATCTCCAAAGTACGTAATTGCTTTTGCACCATCATAAAGTCAAAACAACATAAGTCGAACCATTGTAAGTCAAGGAGCACCTGTATTTAAAACAGATTTTTGTATTAAATTAGATTAATTTATAATTAATAGAACTATTGTACAACTTAAACTATGATAAATTTCTTTAGTATTAAGTAGTCAGTAAGCCATTAAATTAAGTCTGCTCATAATGCCTAGGCATGATAGAGGCTCTCTTTACACTGTAACTCATTATTGTAAATACACAATCTCAGTGTACTACTCGTAAAGAAAAAAAAATTTGAATTTGAGAAAATAAAATCATGGTCATCACAACTAATATATCTGTCATTTTTTAAGAACTCTGACAATAATGTAGCTAAATTTGCCATATAAGTTTTGTTAGGTGTAAAGTTTTGGTGCTGGTCATATGATGTCCATTTAAGCAATGGACTCTTGTAATATTATCCATAATTACCGGCATACATGTAATACACGAGGCAATGTGCAGAGTAAAGGTTGAATTGACATTTGAACTTCAGTAAAAATAAACTTTGCACCATTGCAACCAAAAAGTAATTAAAACTATAGTAGAATTTATAACTTTTAATTCAGCATATTTCTTATTTTTGTTATGTGCATAAATAATATTTTAAGGGATTATTTGATAATGTTCAGACGTTGAAATCATCGTTACACTCCTCATGTGTGCTTGAACAGATGTAACCTTTAGATTCATGTACAGTATGACTAGAACACATTTTATTGTGAATAAAATATAGTACGTATCAAAGGATAGGAAGGTATATTTTTGGCTTAAAAATTTATTCAATTTTATATTTTATTTAACATGCGTGTATAGGGTGTGTTTCTGTCATAAATGATTTTCTTGTTTGTTTGTCCAGTATGGAGAGTGTGGCGCTACGACTCATCACGGGTCTGGGCAACTCGGAGGTGATGCCAAGTCTGACCCGTTTCACTTTTTGTTCCGATACTAAACCAAACCTGATCAGTACAGACTCAGAGGAGCTGAATCGAGTGCTGGTTTTAACTATGGCTCGAGCGATACATGTTACTGGTAAGCAGCTATGTGTGAAGGCAGCTGTGACTGCTGTGTGACTGAGGGGAATGGTAGAATGGAGGTGTGGAGAATTTCAAGGATAGAAATATGTATATAAAATGTGCTTTGTGAAGATCATGAGGCAGTATTTAGGGGAATATTATGGAATTTCTAAAGACATTTTGATGGAAAATATTGCATTTACAAGCATATATGGGCCTTCTTACTTTATAGTGAGAGATACCTCATAAAAAAATGAATTTTGACCCATCTCCTGGTATTAAATTCAAGGTCATTACCCAATAGATAATCAGTTAAGAGTTAAATTTCTTTACTTTTTGAGATTATGGGAATTAGAAACAGTTGGTGATGCATTCTTCAAATTTCACAGAGAAGATATGAACACTGTTGTAATATTGCAAGATAATTTTATTCTTCTAACTGCCGTCCATTCAAGGTTGTGACAGTTCTGGAGATTCTGCTCGTTGGTGTGTGGACTTTCTGAAGACGGTGATGACACAGACTCCCCACACCTGGGCCAACCATACCATCCAGTGCTTCCCTCCAGTGATAGCTGACTTCTACCACCAGTGTGCAGCACCTCGAGAAAACATGCACACCCTTAAGGTGGGTGAGAGAAGGTTTTGTTGTACGTGGCTTTGGTTTTGGAAGATAAGTGTATTCTGTCTACTATTAATTAATGAATTCTATATTCTGATGTTCTTCAAGAAATTTTTCACTAACTGACAGTGTTACTATAGAAAACTCTAAATGTGGAAGAAGTTACTAACATGTCCTTTCCCTCTTCAATGGTTCTTTTGTTATTGGTATTTGTTGCATCATCACATTGTGCAGAGCATTTTCTTGCTATGCAGCTCTAGCTCTCAATTAGTGTGAGTTCAAGTAGTGCGAATTTTGATTTAGTGTGAAATTAATTAATGGCAATTTTTCCCAAAACTCTTCACACTAATAGACTTGACTGTACATATTGTTCTTCATTTGTAAGAAGTTATTAGCCTTCCAGTCTCGCTCATTCCTATTTATATGTTATTCTTTTGAAATATTGTGTCCTTACCAATATCCTGACTAGAGCTTCCTTCCTAGGCGATAACCATTTTTTGTTCTTTTGTACCAGTTTAATGACAACAAGTTTATCCCTATAATTGTTATGTATTTTTATAAGATACTTTCTATTGAAATTGGGCAGTCTGTTTCCCTGCTGACCATTTGTTTTCTGTAGTCGAAAATACAAGCTGTGAAAATCCTTCACTAAAGTTATGCTAAAGTTAGTTTCATGAAGTTTTAGATTAGTTTATACTTTTTGAAGATGAAACCTCCAGATTGGGTCTCACTGCAAATCTGACATTAATGCCCCTGATAAACATTCACAGTTACGTAGAAGTTTTTTATTCTCATAACTCCCCGGCCCTACCTACACACACACCACACACACACACACACACACACACACACACACACACACACACACACGACAGCCCAACACACCACACATACTCACACACACACGACACACACCACACAGCACACACACACACACACACACACACACCAGCACATCACACACACACACCACACACACACACACACACACACACACACACCCGCACACACCACACACACACACACACACACACACACACACACACACACACACACACACACACACACACACACTACACTCACCACACAGACACACACACACACCAACACACAACACACACAACACACACACAACACACCCACACACACAAAACACACACACACACACACACACACACACACACACAAGGAATGAAAACTTCCTGCATGAGGTTTCAGTGGACAGAGAAATGGTAGAAATCAGTAAACGAGATGATGGAATAAGTGGCAACAAAGTTGCAAGGAGGAAGAGGAAAGTTTTGTTCCCAAGGGAAACAAATAATAGGAGACCAAAACGAGTCCTTGTTGTTAGCCCGCGAAGGGGTAGGAGGCCAAAACTAAGTGCCAAACAGAAATGGAAAAGGTACAGGAGGCATAGGACCCAGGAAAAACAAGGAAAAGATATAGTAGAAGAGCCAGAAACGAGTATGTACAGACGAGCGGTGGAGAGGGAGGCCCCAGCGAAGTATGAAAACACATAGCATCGAAAGGTCAAATCTGACCCGAAACTGCTGTATATAGACACATTAAAGGAGGAAGACAACAGTCAAGGACCAGGTGGATAGGCTGAAGGAAAGAAGGTGGAGAACTCACAAGAAAACGATCAAGAGGTGTGTAGGAGCTCAACACCATGAGATTTAAGGAAGTAAATACAGTAGAGACCAGGAAGGACTACTGGGGGACAGACCAGATGGGACACCAGCAAGGAATAAGCACCAACAAGTGATGGACGACATACATACAGATGAGGAGAGTGAAAAACTGCTAAGGGACATTGATACCTCAAAAGGCAATGGGACTACGAACATCTCCCCGTGGGGTCCTTAGAGAGGGAGCAGAATATGTTGTGCGTGCCACTTACCCAACATTATCTTCATCCACGTCCCTGGAAACTGGGCAACTACCTGAGGTAAGGGAAGATGGGCAAATGTAGTTCCCATTTATACAAAAAGAGACAGAAAAGAGGCACTAACTAAACTATAGACCTGTGTCATTGGTACGTGTATATAATCAAAATTTATGGAAAAGATTAATCAGAGGAGAAGGTGGGCACCTGGAACGGAACAAGAGTGATAAATGCCAACCAGCAACGGATTCCCCGGAAGGCAAATCCCAGTGTCACAAAACCTTCTGGAGTTTTATGATAAAATAACAGAAGCAAGACACGAGAGAGAGGGGTTGGGTTGATTTGCATCTTCTTGACTGCCAACAAGTCCTTTGACACAGTCCTCACAAGAGATAATGCAGAAGGCTAGAGCATCAGGCGCATATAACAAAGGGCACTGCAATGATCAGAGAAAACCTACAGGAGGCAACAGCGATCAAGGTACGTAATGATGTATACAGTGGGCACACTGTGACGACCGGGTCCCATCTGGGTCGGTCGTAGAACAGTGCTGATTTTTTGGTAAATGTGAACGACAAATGGAAGGGTTAGACACAGAAGTGTCCCTGTTTGCAGATGAAGTGAAGTTAATGAGGAGAATTAAATCTGATGAGGACCAGCAGGACTTCAAAGAGGACCGACAGACTGGACACCAGGTCCACAAATGGCTTCATGAATTAATCCTGCAAATGCAAAGTCAGAAGATAGGGAAAAGGGGCAACAGAAGACCCCAGACGAGAGTATAGACAGGATGGCCAAAGACTGCAAACCTCACTCCAGGAACAGATCTTTGGGGTGAGTAAATCACCCGAGCATGGTCTCCGGAAGCACACATCAAGTCAAGATAACTGCTGCAGCATATGGGCGCCTGGCAAACCTGAAACAGCATTCCGATACCTTAGGAAGGAATCGGTCAAGACACTGTAAACACCGTGTATGGTCAGGCCCATACTGTAGTAATGCAGCACCTGTTGGAAACCCGCACTTGAATAAAGCCACGTCAGAAACTATAGAAGACAAAGGTTAGCCACAAGGTTAGTTCCAGAGCTAAGGGGAATGTCCTATAAGAAAGAATAAAGGGAAATCGGGCCTGACGGTCACTGGTAGGACAGGAGGTTCAGGGAGACATGATAACGGACATATAAAATACTGCATGGAAAAGACAAGGTGGACAAAGACAGGGCGGAGGATGGTTCCAGGAGGGGACAGAAACAAGAGGCCACAATTGGAAGTTGAAGACACAAATGAGTCAGAGAGATATTAGGAAAGTATTTCTTCAGTCATAGAGTTGTAAGCATTGAATAGCCTGAGAAACAGGACAAAGTGGAAGGCAGGAACCATACACATTTTAAGATGAGGTTTGATAAAGCTCATGGAGCGGGGGAGAGAGGGCCCAATAGCAACCGGTGAAGAGGCGGGGCCAGGACTAAGACTCGACCCCTGCAACCACAAATAGGTGAGTAACCACACACACACACACACACACACCCAAACACACACACATACACACACACACCACACCCACCACACACACACCACACATTCACACACACACACGACACCCACAAACACACACACGACACACACACACCACACAGCGAGAAGAAAGTTATTACATAGGGGAACACTTCACTCTGGAGGAGTCCCAAGGTGGTAAAAGCAGTGGACCGTAAAACCCACCACAGAACAGAGGAGGCCAAGGCAAAGAGTACTACGAGAGCAATAGAGCGATGGTTGACACACTGGCTAGAGTGGCCAGAAAGCTCATGCATGCAGGGCAAAGCTCCAGATCATGGGGACTTTAACCTCAGAGGAGATCGTTGGGAGAACTTGGACCTCCACAATGGGGGCAAGTACATGGAGGGCTAGGAGATGTTGGATGGTGTACTGGAGAACTTCATGTACCAACAGTAAGGACACTACCAGAGAGAGAGGAGGAGGATGAACCAGCAAGCTGGTCTAAGTATTCACCTTCAGTAGTGCCAGATAACGAGGGACATCCAGCATATGAAAGACCCTTGTGGGCCAGTGACCATTGGTTTTTAAGCGTCGAATTCACATAGAGCTACAAGTGGAGGGAGAAGCAGGAAGCCTAGGACGAATGAAGCCAAACTACAAGAAAGGGGGACTACACAGGAATGAGGAACTACCTGAAACGGGTTTCAGTGGAACAGAGAACTGGCAGGTAAGCCAGTTAAAATGAGATGATGGAATATTGCAGACAAAATGCAAGGAGGCTGAGGAGATTTTTACCCAAGTACAGAGTAAATGAAAAAGCCAGGATGAGCCCATGGTTTTACCCAAAGGTGCAGGGAGGCAAAAACCAATGTGCTAGTGAATGGAAGAAATATAGAAGGCAAAGGACCCAGAGAATAAGGAGAACAGTCGTAGAGACAGAAACGAATAAGCACAGATACTTAAGGGAAGGCCCAAAGACAATAGGAAAATGACATTGCACGAAAGCCCAATCTGACCCGAACTGTTGTACAACAGCCACATCAGAGGAAAACAACAGTCAAGGAACAGGTAATCAGGCTAAGGAAAGGAAGGAGGAGAGAGCAGGACAGGAAATGACCGTGAAGTATGGAGAAGAACTCAACCAGAGATTTCAAAGAAGTGTTCAACAGAGGAGACAGAAGGGACCTCCAGAAAGGAGGCGAGGAGGCACAGCCACCAATTGCTGGACACAGTGCACACAACCGAGGAAGAAGTGATGAGGGCTGCGAGTGACTAGATACCTCAAAGGCAATGGGCCAGATAACATCTCCCCATGGGTATTGAGAAGGGAGCAGAGGCGCTAGTGTGTACCCCCTAGACAACAATATTCATAGCATCTATCGAAACAGGAGAATGCCTGAGGACGATGGAAGACAGCAAATTAGTCCCAATCTTTAAAAAGGAGACAGACATGGAAGCACTAAACTACAGACCATGTCACTACGATGGTATAGGTAATGCAAAATCATGGGGAAGATTTAGCAGGAGAAGAGTGGTGAACACCTAGAAAGGAATGATCCGCATCAACAGCAGCCAGCATGGTTTCAGGCCGGAAAATCATCCTGTGTCACAAACCTACGGGAGT